CTCCGAAACCTCCACGTACCAAAAGGGAACAGCGCTCCAGGCCGGCATTCCGCAGGTATCGGCTTTCCGGCATCACTGATGTCCTGCAGCCGAAATGAGAAAGGCAAGGCCAAACAGCTCGGACTGGATTCTTTGGAGTCGTGTTTCCTCTGCGTTGTAAAGCACTAAATGCCACCGAGAATTCTTTATCTGCGGTTAACACCCATGCAAGCCCCTCTAAAATTAAACGTCGTACCGCCCTGCTACGAGGCCTGTGAAACAAAAATCTACTTACGAGTTTTCTGGTTTGTTGTTAGCTGCCGGTGAGAACGGGCAGATGATCTTTCAAATACAGTAGGTTCTCACAGCATTCCTAATTGAGATTGCTTTCTTCCTTGTTCGAGGCAGGCAATGTTTGCAGGAGGAATTAAGATAAGGCAAACAGTTGTTCTTCACGAATGTGCTGGACTTTGGAAGGAGGCACCGAAAGAGCCTGCTTCATTGACAGCAAATACGAAACTGCATTCAGATGCCGTACTGAAAAAGCCTGCTTGTAGCTATAGTTAATAATTAACATGCGTGTGCATACAGTACGCTTCAAGTGACCGTTGTAGTCTAAAAGCTCCAACCAGCAAAACTGGGGGGGTGGTGGGGGGAGTGTGTGTGGGGGGTGTTAGACTTAGTCAGTAACTTAACGTTTTCTGTCAGCTACAGACAGGCTCAGCGACCATCAGTAGGTAACACGATATTGCCTTCAGGCAGAAGCAAGGCATGAGCAGTGGAAATTTAGTCTTATTTCCAGGTATGTGTCAGATTATTTGGTTTACACTGTGCTGCTGGGTGTCTATTTCCTTAATGAATGTTTAAAAACTTCATCTGTTAGTTCTCCCTTTTTCTGAAGGTACTTTTGTAATAGTGACCTTAACGGTGCTTGGTTAATGGTTCTAAAATGCTGTCAAGAGCAGCAATACCATTGATATGCCTAATGTGTTCCTAATTTTTTTAAGTCGAACAGTAGAGAACATTGATGGCTAGCAGAAGAGCCTACACCTGGAAACTAACAACGCTTACAAAATTACTCTTTGCAATACTGATCACTTAGCATAATTACCATGACACAAACAATTTTTAGAACAATTCAGCAAATTGGAGAGGGCAGCAATGCTGCCCGGCTTGTTTTAAACATCTATTATTTCCTCATCTAAATTTGTCTGTCTTTCCTCAACCTGAACTCCAAAAGAAGTTTGTAACTAGTAACTGTTTAAAAAAAATTATTTGTTCATAGCTCTGTTTATTCTACCCCCAGTGAAACAGCATCTGCTGGCTATCTCCTCTGGCAGAGGTCATCAATCTTGTCTTTGTTCTAGGACTGCCAACATTACAATTTACATAAAAGACGATTTGGGACAGAGTGAGGCTAACTCTGAACAACTTTTTCTTATCTTTAAACAGGTTTATCTCAATAGCAAAATGGACGGGAACATGTTTGATTGGTTGCAATTATAAGTAGTGGTGTGCAGTAAATTTAAACCACCATCCCCTGAGGGGCCACCACATGATGTAGCTTGCCCGGAGTCTGTTTTTGCCCTGCCAACGACACCAGCCATTGGGCAAAGCTAATCTCTTCCTGATAGCCTTTGCTTCTGCCCCTCCCATGCTTCCTTTTCTATTTTGAATGCTCTTCCAGGTATTTTGGCAAGCCTTCGCCTTCCTTCCCAAGACTCCCACACATTCCAGAGCCAGTCAGCACGATCACGGAGTTCAACCATTAACCAGAAGCTAAAAGTAGTCAAACACAAACCTCCCTGTGAATCCCCCTTCCCTTATTCGGCTGCCACCTCTGCAGGACAGGTCTTTATCCCATTTATTGAAGCTACTAAAAGACTTTGGGAATTTTAGGTAAACAAGATGGGATGATTTTATCATGTGGAACAGTCTTGCAAAGAAGCGGTAATGTTTGTTAAGAATCACCACAGGAGGGAAGGAAAATGAACCAACAGCCACCAGACAAGCATTTAGGCACTTAATTCTGGTCAAACAAAGGCAGCATTCTGTGACCAACGCAGATTGTGAGCCGCTGGTGTAAGCTGGACTATGTGAGTCAATCGAGACTTCCATAGAACTTGCTGGCACACAGGAAACAATGAATTTTAGCAAGGTGAGACATGCTAGGACTTTCAGACTATAGGCCAGAGCAGAAAAACACGATGGTCAGAAAAAAATACAATAACCCCCTTCTCTGCTGAGTCTGAGCATCCAGTACAGCTACAAATGCCAGTATTTGTCCTTCAAGAGTACTCTGCACCTTCTCCTTCACTGAAGATGGAGCAACTGGCTTGTGGGGAAAATGCTGCCAGTAATGTGATGGTTCTTACAGATACTAACTGTCCGTAGTGTGTATCAAAGGATCTTCCTTCAGCAAGTAGCTTTTTCTGGGAGAGGTGAAGCAAGAAACTATTGGTGTGACGTCAGGTGTGTAACCATAGAACAATCCGTTATTCGAGTAAGTTATGGAAGTAGAAAAATAGTATGGAGGAGATACTTGTCTTGGGGTCTATGTGAAGTCTGACGTTAGGATCAGAGCTCACCCTGTGCCACCACTGTACGAGCATGATGGCAGATAGAGTCCCTGCCCTTATTTACAGTTTAATGCAAGTATTGGAGCAAAAAATCAGTCACGTCCTATGATTCATTTTGTACACCAAGATAAAACTCATTCTAACTTGCTGACGCTATTTATCTTCACCAGTGAGACTAAATCCAGTTGTTACTCAGATACCTAAGACCAGGAAATTGTTTGCATAAATAGCAGTAGCATTACGGATGAAGGGCAAGGCATGCCAACTGTGAAAGCTGAAGTGCTCTCATAAAATCCACCCCAACTGGCCAAATTTTGAACAGAATTTTTCTAGTAAGTGTTTTAAGAAACACAAAGATACTCAAACCAACAGATACAACAACATGCATGTCTCTGGTCTTCAGCTTTAGCATCACAGCTTTACATCATGAATTGAGAGTTCTTCGTGCAACTTTATTTTGGTATAAGCATTTGCAGGAGACGTGAGGGAAGGAAGAATGAACCTCCAAGTACGAGCCAGATGCATGTCAGTGAGTATGTTGAATGCAAATTACTTAAGAAAATATTTTTTGGAAAAGTCAGTCAGAAAAGTAAGTACAGAAGCTACATGTGATCAGGCAAAGGCAGAACCAGGAGGATGTATCCTTGATTCAACTATCAAGTCATTAACACCTATAAATGTGTTTAAGTAGCTATTTGAACTACTAGGAGATTGAGCCACATACTACCGTTTCCCATATGCTGCAAATTATTTTCAGTGTTCTAAATTCAGAACAGTAAAAAGATACTCTAATTTCAGCTTTTTTTTTTTTTCTTTTTAAATCCTGTACTCTTACAAGTTGGTAGTTTTTCTATTTATCTCATCCAGTAGAGCTGAAATTTCAGGTAACTGTCATGGTTTTAGTTGGGGTTTTTTTGGGGGGGTTTTTTGTTTTTTTTTTTGATTTAAAAACACGCAAACGGCATGCACAATTAACCAGGAGCTGCGTCCAGTGAAATACTACTCTCCAACGGTGGGAAACAGTAAGTAACAATGCTTACACTTTAAATGCAGACATTGGGTAACTATACTATATAGCTATTGTTTTTCAATGAAAAAATTAATCACATCCGTAATAATTCTAGCTAGCCAGAGAATCATGCCAGACTAGCCACAAGTGTCAGAGGAAACAAGAAGAAAAACAGTTTGCACTGAACATTTTTTCATACATGGATAAACAATTTGTAAGGGTATGTTATAGCTGTTTCCTCAAGAATTAGTCAACAACTTTTTGCAGGCAATTAATAACGCAACAGTGGTAATAACGCAACAGTGCAAATGTTGAAGCGTTCTTGCAGTTCACAATTTCTTTTGATCTTTTTAGTTTAAGATCTCGAGTACACTGGTTTATTTTGTTCCCGTTTTTTAACAGCCTGAAAGAGACAGCTTCCTCAGCCTAAGTACCATACTCAGTTCTAAGAGGGGAAAAAGACAAAAGTTTCTGCATCAGCATGGTACTAAGGGGACCCTTGTATCATGGTGAAAAAAAGTTAAACTCAGCTCACTCACTTAAGAAATGCAGCAGAACAAAATTAGTGCAAATTTTTTCTACCATGAGAGGATGTTAATTTTGCTCAACTAAAAAAACGCTCAATAAAGTATGTATTTTTACTCTTTGAAGAACAAAAGGTAACATAAAAAGGAATCCACCATAACAGAATTAAGTGTTTGCATAGGTATTGCTGCACAGCCTAAACATCACACAGGAGCCCTTCCAGTTCCATATGATGCTTGCAGCCACACAGACCTCTAAGTAATTTAAGTTTAGCTCAAAAAAAAAATCCTAATGTGAAAGAAACTACAATTCAGAATTCGGAGAAAAGAGCAAGTTCTAAAATACTGAGAGAAAAACTCGTATTACATGCATTACACAGAACTAAAAGTTTCTGCCCGCCACGGTCATTTCGTTTATGGCACGTTCAATTCAACTGTGATGCACCGTTCACTTGCAATAGCCTCAAATCTTAATGAAATGCATTCACAGTACCGCAACTTATGTCTATGTGATTCACAGGCATTCCTTGTTTCAGATGAATGCCTCACCAAAAGAAGTTTAGCATTTGTGTGCTGGTCAGAAGTAACCAGGTGGGTCAGTCCTTACATCCAAACAAGACTACAGACTGTAAGAATTCATGACTGACTGACTGAATTCTGCAGTAAGAAAGTAAGAAGTGCAGTAATAGGGAGGGCGACCTCAACTATCTGTACTACATGGAGACAAATTCAAGCAGTGACACAGAAACCCAAAGTCTGAGCACTAGAGAAAAATATATTATTTTCGTTTTTGTTGCACAACATAGTGACATCAATAAAAACAACAGAATTGAGCTCAGGTACTTCAGAAACCAAGGAAAGGCTTGGCTTCTGGTTAAAGTCTTTAAACTTCCACGAGGCAGAATATCATCAGGTATCTTCCTTCCCAGAATATATTAAGCAGGACAAATCCAATTTAGTTTTTAATGCTGTTGAAAGTTCTTTTGATAGTAGTTCATGAAGGGATACTTGGTCATGAGAATACACCCAATTCCGTCCAGTCCAGTCATAGCGCTTGGGCCCACTAGAAAACAAAACATAGGCTGTGTAAGTACAAATTATGCCTGGGGAGCTGCTGGAAGCCTGTTTTAATAATGTACCCCAGAGAGTGCCCAGGAAAAGGAACAGGCAGCATGGAGGAGGACTGATGGGCAGCCTGGGGAAGTGGAGCAGAAAAGGCCAGATCTGCTGAGCCATCCAACAGATGTATCTGAAAGGTGACAAGATGTATCAGTCCCTTTCAGTGGACCCAAGCTCCTTCCATTCTTGCTTTTGGCACCGATTTCTTCCCTTGTCCCCTTCTTCCCTCACCCATATAATTTTCTTGCACACAAATATTACAACGGATATTTGTATAATGCTGAATTAACGCTGTTGATTAGTTCTCGCAGCAGTCACATGCAGATATTCTAAGCGCAGCAGAACACTGATCACCATTCTCTCTTTCAGATGCAACAAAATGATTTATCAGCTGATAGCAAATATATTGACATATGGGAGGTTTATATTCAAAATGCTACCTTCCTCTGTGCTATCATACAGTTGCTGGCTTGATTTTTCAGGCCTACATTACGTATTAAGAAAGAAACCTGAACACCCAGGTTCCATTCCAGGCTTTTCTATCCACCCAATTCTCCACATCTGAAACAGGAGAATGTTGAAAGTCACTCACTACTGTAAAGGTCAGCTAGAGACACTAAGAAAAGAGAAAGGACTGAAATGGTCTCTGGGATAAACAGACAAACCATCACTCTTACCCTTGAACTCAAAGGACAAAATGCCTCGGAACTCGGACAATCCACGCACAAGGTCTGCTAGAAAACAGGCTATCCTATATACACACACAAGAACAATCTGCAGGTTCTCTACAAACATAAACACTAATCTGAACCCTGAACATCCTGAATTACTTGCAATATTCAAACGAGGAACTTTCCAACCACTAACTAAACTATGAGGAGTCACAAATGCAGCCACCAATCAAAGCCACTTCCACTGAAATCTCGCTTGCTCTATGCGAACTGCTAACTATTGGGAATCGAGATTATGAGCTCCAGTTACTTTACTACGCATTTCTCACTTCTTTGTCTTTGCAGCGCAAGCATATGTTTATACTGTCCTGGCACCTAGAGAATGACAGAATGGGATGCAGCCATTCATGAAAATCAGGCTAAGACAGGCCATTTAATCAACAACAGCAAAGAAAAGAAATGCCTACGTTATTTGGACTGTTTTTAACCGTTATGTAGCAAATAGCAGTGATACAGTTAGCATATGAAACACCTCTATAGTTCTCTAAATCTCCAAAATGCTGTACAAATGTGATTTTTTAAATTTAAATTAAAATTTAAGCAAGGATCTTGTGTATTCTATAAAATGCCTGCAAAGTTAAGTATAGACTAAATATATTTCTCATGGGAAGTCTGCATACATTTTTAAACACTAAGAAGAATTAAAATATCACATTAAGGTATTATTAAGAGATGCTGTGTAAGGCTGAAAAGTCTTTTCACTCAAAGAAGCTACATGAAACTACTGCAATCACACTAACACCCACCCCTTCACCCCCTTTTTTGAAATATCAAAAATCAAGTATCAAACCAACCAAATAAAGCTTTACAAACACAAGCTCAAGTTCACTTTGGTGTACAGATGCACAACAGCAAACAGAAGCTCAGTAAAATTCAAGAAAATGTGTCTCTCTCACTTCTTAATAATTTGTCTCCCTCGAGGTATGTTCTTAAAGACTCAAGATTCTACCTTTACCATACAAACTTCCCAAGTATATCATTCAACGCCAGTGATCACTGGCGGTAACATTTGCTTCTTTCACTTCCTAGTATATTGTGCTTAAGAAGTATGTAACTCCAGATCATACAGTATTTGATGGAGTTGCTTTTCAGAAGTTAGAAAGTAAGTGAACATGTAGCATCGTATTTCAGGAAATACCACTGTTTACCGCAACACCAATTAAGGAAGCACAGACTTAATGTTTGTAGGTGAATCATTTTTCATCAGATGATGAAAATTACCGTCAGAGAATTTTTCACGTTTATCTCTTTCCTTGTGTATTTTTATTCACTAATGGAGCAATCAAAAAAAAAAAAAAAAAAGTTTAACATTTTTTCACAAATTCCATATTCTGGAACGTGTATATCTTAGCTCAACTAGAGTTGGCTCCAAACAGATAGGAATTCTCTGAATTTTGATTTTCATAACTAGATGAAACCTTTGTGTCAGTGACACAAAAAAATCTTATAGCCCTCTTAAGCAGAATCAATGTTTGGAAATTATGGTCCTTGCAAAATACACAGAATGAATAAATTCTGACACACAGCCTGCATTTGTCTAAACAAAACTTTTTGTTAGCTTGGTAGGCTGTGCCTCAGCAAGTCATGTATCTGTTAAGTAACTATTTAATTACTAAAAGGATTCTGGGATAGGAGAGGAGTTAGTAGAAAAAATATTGCTAACTTAGGATGCTGTTCACCAGCCAGTATGTAGGTACACTAAAGCAAAGTCTGATTTTTCTTTAGGTAAATTTCATGTCTATTAGAATTGTTTCTCTTAAAAATCTTAAATTCCATTGTGGGTTTTTTCCCCCTGACACAAACCATACTATGGAATTCTACTACTGCAAAACCATTCCCAGTTTTGGAATCAACACATTCTTTCTGAACAACATTCAAGAGGTACGCCTGTATAGTTACTGGGATTGCTCATACTTTCCAGCTAGCTGGTTCCTTCACCAGTAACACTGACCAACTCCCTCAGTTCTTTCCCCAGGATAGTGGCAGAGAATACAAATTTTTTGGAGAGACAGCTACAACATTTTCCCATGTATCTGGCTGCCCCCCCTGCTTGAAACCAACCAGAAAACCTGGAATGGATCAAAACACAGCATTAGAGAAGGCGGAGGAAAAGCCACCAAAGGCTCCTGTAAAGCGCAGATGCTTGACAAAAACAGCCAGTGGGAGAGCACATAAGCACATAAAGCAGGAAATCCCACAAGCTTAGAGGGGAAGGAGCCACCCTGTTTAAATACAAAGAGAGGTTTAGATCATAACATCACCATCACTCTTTTTCCAACACAAGCTTTGTTTGTGGGTTAGGTTTTTTTTTAGTTTTTAATCATGGCTGTTTATTTTTTCTACGAGTAGATTATATTCCTGTAGACAGTGGTTTTGGACCAGAATGGGGTATGAAAATTCTGTCTTACACATCTCCTGGATTAATTTAGGGAGTTCATTATACTGCACTGTGCCTCAAACCTCTGTAACAAATTATCATTGAACATTTAGATTACATCATGTCTTGAGAGTATACTCAGTAAAAGGGTTACTGATGAGAAGGATGTTACATAGTCCGTGCCATGCTATAAAAGAGGGGAAGTACACTTCCACCCAGTCTGCAGACATCACATAACTAACTTACACAAAACTTACCTAGTGGGTGAGGACAGCCAAATCTGCCGGTTTGGTGTTTGTTTATTGATTACGTATGTTCCCATGTCTCCACCTAATTTAACTGTTAGAACTCCACTCTTAAAACACAAAGAAAATAAGTGAGAAATTAAAAATTTGCATCCTGTTACTTGACAAGAATTACATCACCTGCAGCAGATAAACAGAAACTTACATATCTGTATCACATTCCCAGCTATTTCCCAAACAATAATAGCTTGGAAGAATGACCATTAGGGATCAAGGACTTGTGTTAATACCTAGCACAACCTGCATATTTTTGAGCCTGATCTAGGCTTTAAACCTTCTGGTCAGACATTTGATCTAGCGTGTCTGCACCATTCACAATGGCACTACTTAAATACTATTGAGCTTTGACTGATCATCTTGAAAGGACTGCTAGTTCATTTTGCAACGACTAAAACATCATCCATTAACAACTTCTTCTATTCATGAACAATCCAGAACTGGTGTGGTTCAAAGTCAAGAAGCTTTATATGTCACCGCTAGATTCCTGAGCCATGCAATTTCACCTATTCTTAAGTAACTGTAACAGTTTCCCAGTGAATAAACACCATTCTTTCTCCAATAATTCCGATGAAGTGCCTAGATCCTGAATCATACCTCAAAAATGTTCCACTTCTGAACTCCATGAGGTCTGTTTTGTTTTGGTTATGCCAGCTTTAGACCCGTATCCTAGTGAGCATTTATTTTCTCTTTCTTACTCACATTTCTTACTGACCACAAGATTCACATTTATCTGACATTTTCACAAATGCATTTGAAAAGCACACGTAACTCTGACAAAAATATTTCTGTCCTAACTTCAAGAGCAAAAGAACAATGTTACTTTGACTAGAGTTAACTACAGATGATCTGAATTATGCTAATTTAAAAGGGTATCTCTACAGAATACAGACTGATGATTCAGGTAATAGGTTAGTCATATTTAATCTACACTTTCTCAAATACTTCATGCCCTATAGCATGATGAAGCTTCTTTATCACCTTTTTGTGCTTTAGTCAGAAGATACTACTAGAGCTACTATCATTGCTAGGGCTATTTGCTATGTATAAACATTTACTGTGGGAGAAAAAAAACACTTTTACATTTACAAAAACCCCACATTTATGAGTACCTACTGCCTGCAAACTTATTCTGTAGCACAGGCAGCAGCTTAGAGCTTCCTTCCCCTATGAAGTAACTCAGCGTTACTGCTTTCTGACATATGTCAAAGATCATCTGCCATGAAGTAATACTCTCAAGATCTGATTTTTTTTTACCTTTCTGTGCTGTTTCTATGCTTGATAAAGGATTTATATCTGTGATCAATAAAATAAAATTAAAAGGCTTCCCCTAGTTAATATTGCCACCAGGTTGTCCTGCCAATTACATTAATTGAATATTGTTCTTGTCCTTCTTTGTGCTAAACCAAGCCACTTCTCTGCTTGTCAGAATTCAAACTTTCATGTATCTCATTGCTCTTAGATCTGTAGAGATACAGCAGACTAAGAGCAGGTTGGGGGATTAGGCCTGAACAGGGATATAAAGGTTTCATTATTCTTATACATGCTTTTTAGTGCCGTATTAAGTATTCAGCATGATGCTGTGCTGCATGCTACATAAACACTGTAAGTTTCTGTAAGATAAGTTTCCAAAGAGTTAATGTATACTATTGCTTACATTGTGTATTAGCTGTTGGAGAGGGTTCTTGCTCTGTCATTGCAAATTACATAAAGGTTAACTTCTAATGCTGCATTTAAAACATTTTCCCATACATTTTGCAATACTTTTGAAATATTAGAAAATAAAACCTGAGTTTTTAAGAGTTTAAATGGCAAGATTTTTTTACCATATTTTAAGGAATACTACTATACGTGTTCTGTACTACTGGAGGAATGTTTGTAAGCTCCTGGCAAACACAATATTCTTTGAAAGAGATTTTTTTCCCCGGACATGAAGATATAAATTGCATGAAGAAATCAAGTTCATCACAATTCACAGGTATAACAGAACTTTACCGCGTTCGCCACCTTGTGGCTTGCTATAGCACTAGCCTTGTTTGGAATTAACTTTGCTAAACGTGGGGGCTATTAGCCTTTCACTCTTAACAAAAACGACAACGACAACGTATTATTATGTCACCATACAGTCTATGCAACAAACGAGTACTGGTAAAAATGAAGATGGATGTAAAAATAATTCCTTTTGAGCCTCACAGTGAGTCAATGTCAAACGCAATCCACTCCACAGTGGCTGAAGATAAAATTCCACTGTAAGATGACACATCACCTTCACGTAATGAAGTGTCTAAGAATATTAAAACTCAAATTTTTGAGTTATAATTATAACTATAATTTTTTGCTAATTTTTCTCCTAAGCTCTTTAAATCAGGCTAATAGGTGCTAATATGCTAGAACATACCAAATAGTAAAGGTTAAATAATTCTTTGCTTTTGACCAGAAAAGCAATTAGTTGTAACATTAACTACTTAATTAAAGCAACAAATACTATTGGCTAAGGACAACAAGAGAATCCTCCTAACAATACATTATTTTCTATCCTAGCTAAAAGAAATAAAGAATGAACATTATGACGACAAAGTTACACAGGAGCACATCTAAAAACGACATGGTTTTAGGTTTTGGGTTTTTTTTTTTTTTTTTTTTGCACAGTGTAACCCAAACCATCTGCTTCAATGTTGCTGAGCATAACACCTTAACTGACAGGGCTAGCAGAAATCAATCTTCTTATGGTAAGATATGAAGAGGGAGCAGCAATTACGGGACTCAAAAAATGCAGTAGTGAAAGACCTGTGCTGCAGACGACAGTGCAGGGAGAAACTGCACTCTCCTCCAAGCCATGTAGACGGCTGTAACATATAAACCACTTCAGAAACTGTATATAAAACTAACAAATCCCCTACACAAACAGAATGGCCATTTTTAATCTGAGTCTGTCACTCCTGTAAAAGAATCTGAGTGGCTGACCCATTAAAGGCTCCAATCATCAGGCTAGCAGCCACCCAATGTCTCCTGTGACAGCAGCCTTCTCCCCACGTATGCTCTGGTTTTGCTTTTGCAACAACCTGTCCGAACACTGCATCCTCTTGCTGCTTCTGTCCACCACAGCCTGTCATCAGTAAAGCCAGGACAAAAGTACTTTACCTTGTCAAGACAAATGCTGCTTCTCGGTACTCTGGGCAATCAAAGAAACTGATCTACCAGTTACATGTGATATACCTGTACTATGCCACATAGCCCTGTCCGAGTACTCACTGGGAGGGAAGCGACTGCTGATGTGAGAGGTCAGCACGTGTTTAGAAAAATGCATAGACCACTGTGAAATTAGAAATCAGTTTATGTCTCCCCTTGTGCTCAATTATTATTCTATATTATGTCTTGTCTCTATACACTAAACTTTTAAAATCCTCAAATCGTACAACAGTTACTTTTCACCAGAATAGTTGGTCTAGTCCGTATATATTTTAAAAATAAAGCTGTAAAAACTCATTGTATTTTAAGTGTTGGCACTAAAGCAACTAATTTAAAATAATTCTTCAATGGAAAAAAAAAAAATCTATTAGTGTTAATAGAATGTTTAAAACATACCCCTAAAGAGACGTCATAATCTTCTGGGGTAAAAGACTTATCTGTCAGGTCCTCAAAGAAATCTGCTAAGGAGTCCAGCGTTTCTTCAGCCAGTTTTTCATAAGTGGTCTCATCTAAAGAGCTACAAATGTCACACAAGCTCATAATTAGGAGGAAAAACATGGAAGATGGTGTTTTCCCTATAATAAAAACATACCAAGACCATGACTTTGGAAGAAACAGTAACCACGAAATGATCATGTAAAACAATTGGTCATTTTTCTTAAGGTAATGTAGATAACAATCCACTTTATAAACAGAGGTGGAATTTTGATATTTTGGTAGTAGTAATCTCTTAACGAGTAATAATGTGCTTCTTTGCTTAAATATACTGATCCCTGTGTACTAAGAGAGAATTAGATTTCAAAATAAGGCATTTTCATAAAAGGATTTTGTGCAAGAATTACTTAGTTTTGAACTCTATGAATTCAGACAAGCATCTCCTGTTTAGAAGTGTATGTCATTTGACTCGAAGAAACTCACCGTAGCTATAAGCAGTTTAGAAACATCAGTATCACATGCTGTGTCTGCATACAGCATTTGACTTATCAACTGGAATTACCAATGCAGCCCGTTAATTAGACATTATTTAAAGTGTGCTAATGAACTAATGCACACAATTACCTTCTTCTTCAGAGAGTCTCAAAGCACCCCTATAGCCGTTACGTAAAGCTTACAATACTTGAGAGACTGCTTCTGTTACCCTCTTCAAATAAGTAGAAAAAGTTAGTGGGAACAAAATCTGTTCACTTTAATTAACCAAATGTAATTAAATCACGTAAGTTTTTTCCATCCATATCAATGTCAACTTTTAACTGCGTAGGTGGGTATCTCTAGCAACACTGAAAGCATTTCAGTTTTTGTTAATGTGTATGACAATACTACAGTTACTATGAACTGTGGTGACCAACTATCTTTCAGTTGATGATATAGAATATAATTTTTTTTAAAAGCTTCTTGCTAGCCAGTTACTGAAATACACTCTATGCCACTTATGTGAGGGACACCCCACAAACAGCTAGTGCCATGGAGAACAGAAAGCCTTAGGATTAGGCAGGATTCATGTACTGGTTCAGGTACCTAATGGTGAGAGCCATTTTAGACATCTGCACAATCCTTCACTGTGCTTCCAACTACTGCATCAGAAGGGGAGAAGTCTCTGACAGGTACTGTGTCACACCCTCTCAGCGCAAGGAGAAATTTCACATACCCTGACATATGTGAAATGGCACTAGACACCTATGTTTAGGTACACAAACTATTTCCTAAGTGACTTCCCAAGTTCACCCCAAAATGCTTTCAGCTAAAACCGTACTTTTCCTTTACACCATCACATCAATGTTACATTAGTTTGATAGTCAGTTTACCATGTCTAGAAACTACTTTAAAATGCAGACAGTATTTTCATATGAGTATCTCAAAATAAAGTTTACCTTGTGTCATTCAGAGTTCCTGCATTTCTTAAATCCATGAACCGAACAGTCTTGTTCTTCGCCTCTGAAGCATATTGTAATTGCTGCTGAAAGTAAGCATAAGTAAAATGGAATTAAGTTAAAACATGGAGAATTATAAATGACTATTTGTCACATTAATTAAATAGATCCTTGAAGACCTTCCCACCCACCCCCCACCCTCCCCCGTAAAATATTCATATTCTGTATCACAGAGCTAATACAGAAAGAATTATACAGCTTTAAGTCCTTGGATGGTTGAGACAATCTAGAATATCCCCTGTATTTTGATACAAACTAACAATAAAACCCCAATTTTATTCATAGAATAGTGAACTAGGAACTAGAAGAACTGTCTTCTTTTCTATCGCTCTACCACAGAATGACTGAGCAACTACAGAAGACTGGCTTAGGCCATGATTTTCAAAAGCATTCACTACTCAGGTGCTTTGTTATCAACAACTTGCAACCGTTAGAAGCCACGTATATATTCCGCTGACATAAGCGGAAGACCTGAATTATCCTGACTTACTCACATCCCAGACCTCTTCTGTAAAACAAGCTGTTTAATTCCTAATTTCTCTTCTGTTTTAAAAAAACCCCAACAACTTTAAAAAAAAAACAAATCAAAATTACAGAAAATCTTTATCAACATACTGGCAATGTAAGACAAAGGAGCAAAATGTGCAATCCCTTTGAGGAGAAGCAATACATCAACACGGATAAAAATAAAGCCGACCCCCACGTCTAACACACTAGCAGAAACACTTATGCTATCCACCAAGAAAGAAAGATAACATGCTTGCCACTTTCTTCTTAACCTGGGGTATGAAGGTATGTATTTTTGGATGAAAGACAGCATTCTTCATTGCTTTCTGCATACTTGCACAAGGTTTTTAAAACTAACAGAGTGAGCTGAAAAGCAAGTGCCATTTAGAAAGGAACTATGACAGCCCCTCTTCAAACACACATGAAAGCAAAACACAAAAACATCTCTCTCCATATGGTTTGACACCTATCCTCAGGCATCACAGATGAACTGGCCTGATAGTCCAAAGGCATGACACAGACGTAAAAGAAGAGCAAACTCCTTGTACATTCACAATGACATACGTTGACAAAATACACACTGATGCCTACACGGTTTTGACCGTACCCTTTAGCATTTTTTTAACACACGCTTACAATCAAAAGCTACAAGACCACAAATACGTTCAGGTTTTGGCCAGACTGAAAGGCTGTAACTCCATTAGTGTGCTCATAACTGACGTCCTGAGGCTGCCAACACGGTGCTAGCACAGTTGGCATCACCCCTCCAGGTACCAAACCCAGTACTACCGGTGGCCTGCATGCATCTTCTGCAATGGGGAAAGGGCAGCGCACACGTAAGCAGCTCCGGAGTACAGCGAAGGCTGGGATCCGCGCCGGGCACCCCCCGCCGCTGCCTGTCCTCCAGCGCAGCACGGCGCCGCTTTCAAGGGCTGGGGACGGCCGAGGCCACCGGCCCAAGGCCTTGGCGCCCCTGCGCTTCCCACAGGTGAAGGCCGAGGCGCGCTCCGGGCCTGACGGCTG